TTTTCACTACTTTTATTTACTTGTTATACAATATTTTCATTTGTTATCTCATAGTCCACTATCTTCTTGTATAACAATTTTTAAAATGTGTTAGTTATAATATTTTATAAATATTTTCAAACCTTACTATTATATACGGTACTTATATATTTTAATTTATCTTACACATAAATTTTATTCTTAATATTTATTTATTAGTAGAGAGGATATATTTTTTTTGTATTTCTTGTTATTTTCTTGCTAATATGTATTGTTTTTTTGCTATCTTATCTTTCATCAGCCCTGAAACTTGGGCAGAAATGTAGGCAAAGTTTTTTCACTGTAATTGCAATCCTCAACCATCAATGAACTATTTCTCCATCATTATAATTTTATTACTTCATTACTCAATTAATTAATAATTATTATTATAAACTAGAGAAATATTACTGGAATAGTGCATTTTTATTATTCTAAATGGAATAGCAGTCCCAGAATAAATTTTAATTATCTTATTAATACATTTCATATTTAAAATATTTAATAGAAAATTGACAAAGAATAAAAGAGAGAAAATATTTTGAATCTTAGTAGAAAATGATTTAAAATTAAATAATAGACATTAAAATACTAACTGTTACCAATGCGTTCGCTGTTTTGAAAAAATAGAAGGATGCACATCATAATAGTGGATTTCAGGATTTTCCAGATAGCCGTTTATATTTGCCAAATTGTACCACAATGGTGAAAAATATATTCCACATTGAGGATTTGTTTTTCTCTTGGGAACTAACAGAAATATAAATAAATAAACATAAATTAAACAATATTTTTTCATAGATATTTGTCAAATATATGACGTGAGGCGGGTCTATGAATTTTGGAATGGGAAGATTAGAGCCAAAAGAAAATGAAGCATAGAACAGACTGCAGGAACTGTAATTGTATATAATCTACTATTTTTCTAATTCTACTTTCGCTTGTTTTCTTTTTAAGAAGAGATGAGCAATAAAATATCATGGAGGAGGGGAGAGATGCGTCATTGACCTAGGGGAGGATGGGCACTCTTGTTTTACATTATTTCAATACCTTTGAAAGAGAGAAGAAAGTTCTGTTTAAGAAAGTTGTGTTACACGCTGGTCTATTTCTAACATTTGGACATTGTTTGAGATTATTTTGGAATCGAGATATTTGAATTTGTCAAGCTTTGGGAACGATTTTTCTTCTATGCAGATTATTTTTGAATTTTGGAGGGGGGAAATTTCGATGGGGTTATGAATTTTCGGACTAAGGGACAAGGGGAAACATGGAACATGCCGCAGCAAGTGTAATTGTATATGATCTACGATATTTCATTTCTAACTCAGCTTGCTCTGTTTTTAAGAAAAGGTGAGCAATAAAATATCTTGAGAGGAGGGGGGCAGGTTCTTGTGCCATGGACCTTTGGGGGGATGGGCACTTCTGCAGTGGATGACCCACATGTTTGGTTCGAAACGTCGGCTAACCTGATAAAACTCATGACAATTTTGTATCATCCTAATAATTGATCAGTCGATTAATTACCCATCTCGTAAAGTTTTAAATATTGCAGATCTGCTCAAAACAACTAATAACACCATATTATTTAATTTATCGCTCACTTATCAGGTGTTACAAAATTCGTTCATGACTTTTTGGGTAATGCTTCTGTGCAGTTTCCATCCCTCCCAAAGCCGATGGAGCATAATCCTTCTCCCACCCCATAACTTTTCTGTCACTGATGACTTTTTCATCAATGTCTTGCAGTTGCCCTCCTTTGAAGGCCACCTGTCTAAATATTTAAACTGCTCTGTAGCAGCCAAATCCCATTCTCTATTTAGTGAGGAGTTTCGACTATTGTTGAATGGCATATACTCACTTTTTGCTTCACTGATTTCCAAGCCTAGGCATCGCATAGGCTTCCTCCTCATAAAGGAAGAATCTTCTTCATCATAAGCAATAATGACCTGATCATCAGCTATTGTGGATTGAACAGGCATTCATCAGCTAAGATTACTCCCATACCATTACACTTCTTTTTCCATAAACTAATGATACATTCAACATATAAATAACAGTTGAGGGGAGAGAGAGCAGTATTTTTTTAAGACCTTTGGTGATAGGAAATTCCTTTGTCAGGCCATATTTGGGCTTGATCCTTTCTGTCACATGTGAATATCCTTTTATAGCTCGGATCATGTACTGGTGTAACCTCTTGGTAGATCAACAAATATTAAATATATCTCCTTATTATAGGCTTTTAATATAAATATGTTAAAAAGTCTAAATAATTTTGTAATTATTTGAGAATACATTTATCTGATTTCATTTGCAAATATAATTTTTTTAAATAATTTTCTTATCTTATTTTGTCTTTATATAACTTCAGCAATTATTACTTTCACTTACCTATATATGAAATACATGGTGTGAGTGTGTTGACAGTCTAGCTCAAAAACGAAGTCATATGAAAGTGAAATTGCATATTTAATGTTTTTATATGCTAAGGACGTTACAGTAACTTTTTCGTCAAAATCAACTGACCGGAAGTGGCACTTTATATCATGGGCTAAACACATTTTTATTATTTTTCGGAAACGGCTTTAACAATTTTGATTAAATTCATTAAATAAGTGTAAAATTAAGCAGTTTTTATTCTGATTGATGTTCTCTAACAGGGCTTAAATGGCAAATTTTCAATATTAGCTTCCTCTTAAGTTCCTTTAATTTTTTTAATTTGAAATAATTGAATATTTCACATTAATCTCTAATATAAAAGATAGTTAAATATAAAATATGAAAGAATTTGATAATTACCTAAAGGAAAAATAAAAAATCATAAGGGAGAATAGTTGTAATTGATCTTACCCCAGCTCATCAGAAAGATTATAACAGTCTTCCATATCCAATATGAGCTTAATATAATACAATATAATAGGACACCGACATTATTATATAAATATGTGGTTTTCATAAATGCTATTGTTGTTATTATTTAATTGTATAGATTACACCGATATAAATATTAAAATTTGTATATATAAGAGTACTTATACAAATAAAAATACCCACAATGAAATATAAATAATTATAGCATCTATAATTTTTACTTTCATTTCTCCTTTGTCTGAAAATACTTATTTCTGCTAAAAAGAGAGTGCTAAGTGAAAGTTGTGATGCGTGCATCGCACCAGATTTTTTTTTTATTCAGAGTGCACATGTAATGAACAAGTGTATAAAGTGAAGTAATTTAAAATGTGCATGCTTAAAATATCAACCAAGTCACTGCATTAATACTACACAATTAAAAATTCACCTAGTCACAAGAGTCTAAATAGCATTCTAATGAAAAAAGATTAACACATCCCTAACTGCACACTGGTGGATAAATCAACCACTTCACTGTAGTTAAAATACATAACCAACAATCAAATGAAGTATTTTAAAGATCCTATTTAAATTCTAAATAGCATAATCTGGTAAAAGAAAAATCAAGGGAATTATACCCTGCATGAGTTAATATTAATCTTTCTTATTATTATTATCATGGTTCTATTATACAAAAACTCTTTCATTGTCCATTTAATCTTACATTTAGCTATCTATAAAAAGCAAAGGGGTAACACTAAAAGAAATCAATTCACACTGCATGTTTTGAGTTAATTAAAGTATTTAAGTCAAAGTCAAATGGCCTTGGGAAACCTGGGAGCTTTCAAAAAATATTTTTTAGTCACAAACCTAATTGTAAACAACCCCAAAAATATTACTATGTTTCAAAACGCTTCAGCTAAACCTCTTTCCTGTTCTAAAATTAACAATAAAAAGATCACAGCTGGCTTGTGACAGATTCGTTGATAAGGCAGCATAACAAGTATGTAACTTTCCACCACACTTTATTAATTACTTTGTTAGTCAGTTAAGATTTTCATTTTTTTTTTTTTCTCAGAACGATTAAAAAATTTCTTTCTGGCCAAATATATACAAAATAACACATAATTTATATTTAAATGCTCTTATGTCTGTTTTACTTATATTATTAAAAAAAATTATTTAACTGTGCTCAGATTAGGTTTTAATTGATAAAAATTGTTCCTCCCCCCCCCCAACGTTGGAATTCCCTAAAAGAGAAACTTTTTCACTGAAGTGAAACTAAGTGATCTCAATTCTGCTTTTAAGATCACTGCCTTACAAATAGTGACATTAACTTGTTAATTAAATAAACATAAAATTCTAGAAGAGGAATTCTGAACTGTTACTAGTATTTGATAAGAAACTAAAATGATTGTACGTCAGCTAACATAAACTTTGTTGTGGATTCTGTAAAATAACAAGAGGAATCCCCAACATTTTTGGTCTATAAAAGTTTTTATATAACAAAAATAATTTAAAAATGCATTACGTAGGTGGTTCACATTTTTATTTTGAGGTGATTAAAGGACTAAAAATAAACCTTTCTACAAGAAACGTAGTCACTAGACCCAAGAAAAATTTATATTGATACGCATTTCATTTTTTAACATTTATTTTAATCGATAATGGATTCCAGTTTGTGTTCAGTCTATATATTTTAAAAATGTAATCTTTCCTAATATAACAGTTCACTTCACATTTCTGTTTAAAAACTAAAATAACAAATTCTAATTTTAACACAACTTTGAAAATCATTTTGCACCAAATTTTCTTTTAATTCTATTCTTAGAATATTACCTTATAATTGATGTGGTAATCGTAACCTGTAAATAATTCTGGACCTCAAGTCTTTACTAACCTGAAAACTCTTTCAACACAATATATACTTTTATCATAAAAAAGAAATAAGTAACAATTTTTTTTCTTTTTTTATTTAATAATAATAAAAAGAAAATACAATTTATAACTTGATACTTTTTACAATTTTTTTTTCCTTTAAAGATGCTACAAACATAATAACATTTTAAAACAACAGAGGCGCTCAGTTTGATAATGAACTATTAAAAGAGGATTCAACACGGTACCTAAACTGTTTCATCATTCCTCTATTACATGTTAATTTATTTATTAAGTTTAGTAAATTGTTTTGATCCACAGGAAAATAAAAGGAAGGGCAACGACAAACATTTATATTTATAGCAAGTATAACAACTTGGATAAAACAGGCTTTACAGATTCAATCGAGCAAAGGTAAATCACACACTACATCTAAAATGTGTTTACTTTTTTTTTTAAGTACTTACAATCTATTTTCAATGTTTTACTCGTTTTTTTTTTTTAACTGGATATTTGTACTTACAAACACAACATATCATATAATTATCATACTACAAAACACAAAATAAAAACTGAGTGAGCACTTTTCCGTTAAGCACCTTTTCTCCAAACCAAGCGCGTTATAAAAGCGCATTCATTCACGATGCAATTGGTCAAGTTTTCACATTCTTTCCAGACTAGATACATATGATTGAACAAATTAAATAAATTAAAAATGTGGCAAGGTAAAAAAAAAAAGAAAACTATAAAGAAAGGTCGAAAGTTGGATATGCGACTCAACCATACCAATGTGGTATATCCTATATTAAAAATAAAAAGAAACATTAAAGATGAAGAAACGTTCAATGATATATCTCTATCTCGTTTTCACGATATTTTAGAAATATAAAATTAATCTTTACTTTCCATTTTTTTTTTTCATTTTTAAGTTTTTCTTTTTTTTTTGTTGTTTCTTTGAGATCTAATAACAATGCAGACAACATTATCCATTGTTTCACATAATGATAATAATGAGGACTCCATAAAATTTCTTAAAAAATAACAAATCAATAAATAGAAGAATCCCGGATGTTTTTTTTTAACTCAACATTGCGAGTATTACGTTATTGAAGATTCTTCTTGTTATAGTTTTCCTTTCATTTTTAAATGCTTCCAAGACTGAACATCAATTGAAAATGTAGGTACTATTTTATAAAAGAGTTGAAATGATAAGTATTATTTTCATCTCTTGATAACAGTATTCTTTAATATACATCTCTCATCTCACCATTTTAAGCGTATTTGACTCGCTAAACTTATAAACAGCCTCACATTCACTTATACTTATAATAAATTATTTTCATACAACAAGAACCTGAAAGATAAAGGTTCATTGCAAGTTGAAAGACATTTCAGTAAAGAATATTTCAAATTACATTTCTTTTGTTTCTTTTTTTTGTTTTTGTTTTTATATAAACTGTTGAGATGGTCCATACGAAGACCCTGTCATATATAAATACGGATCGGAGGCGGAGGTCTGGGCTCCTTGGTACCAAATGATATTGTTTCATCACGATGATGTGCGACAGAATTACAGAGAGGAATTTTTTGTCTTGTTTTCAATTTTCGGTGAGTCCTCCACCTTGCAAAATAAAAATTTAAAGATGACAAGTCCAGAATTACAGAGGGTTTCTGGAGAAAAAAAAAAAAATTAAATTAGTATTAAAACATAATTGACAAACATAAACTTTATTTAAATAAGAAAATTATTTATTAAAATTTAGAACAAAGTAAATTTAATTACATCACACATCTTTACAGTAACATTTCAACCATTTTCAACATATCTTTATAAACTGTTTATCACTTATAATATAATTTTTTGTCTTATTTTTAAAGTTTTTTCTTTAGGCAGGATCTTCATTTTGTCAATCAAATCTTGTTGGTATTTATACCCTTTTTTTTAAAAAACACTTATGCAGGCAAACCCTACACAAAAATGCTCTTTTTAAAATAAAAAAAAATGCAGCATTCCATATCTTTTACAATATTATGCACCAGCAACTATATTGAAAAATTAAGAGGTATAGTTTTAAAAATAAGACAGAAACAAAAAATTTATATTATATGTAGTATATGGTTTATGTTTGAAAAAGGGCGAATTGTTACATATGAGAGGCTTCATATCAAAGACGGACATCTGTCATCTTTAAAAAGTTGAGAAAAATCGGATTTTAGTAACATCGCTTTAATTTAAATCAATTCTAATCATTTTGTTTTCATGAATCAAGTTAGAGATTTTTAAATAAAATCATCAGAAACAGTTGAACCTATAAAACAATAATTGACTTTTTCTCCACTTTCTGAAAATGAAAGATGTCAGATGATATAACTAAATAAAAGTTTTTATTATTAATAAAGAATTTTATTGTTTCTGTATCTTTTTTGGAATGAAAAATAAATCCTAATTTGTTAATTACTAATTAATGAACTTTTAAGAAATTAAAATTATTATACCCCATTTTTATATAATGTATATATTCATATAGAAAAATGAGAGACATAATAAAAGATGAAAATTAATTTAAATTTAAATAAATAAGAAAAATAATTAATTTAATTGAGGTATTGCACAGCTGATCACTTTCCTATGTTGATAAAGTAATATCAAGCGATAAATTTAAAAAATCACATTTATATTCATGATAAATTAACATAAAAACTAATTTTTACCTTTTTAATTTGAATCTTGTTTTATTTAAGCCTTACTAGTTGTGTGATATGAATCTTGTGGTCTTCCTCCCATTTTTGATCTTAAAAAAACAAACAATATATCTATATAGTCAGACTTAAAAAGAGAGAAAAGAGTGACCTAAGATCTAAGGGAAAAGAATGAAATAAAAATAAATGTAAACTATGGGAAATTCATATGTCAACATGGTTAATTCTTTATGCGAATGTTATTGTTATTTAGTTTTGCCATTTCCAACTGCTGTCAGTTTCAAGAGAAATTTACACAGTAGGGAATGACAGACACAAGACTGACAAAAATCATTTCAATCTCGATGGTCCTTCAACGTATCAGTCAGACTGGTGTCTTTTTAATTCTGTTTATGTAGAGACTCTAAGCAGGGTGTATCTGGTGGAACTATAATAATTATTTTCTAATGCACGAAAATCATTTAATAAGTCAGAAAAAAAGAAAGAAAAGAAAGGTAACTAACATATATCATACACAATAGTAGACTTTTTAAAATAAATAAAGTGTGTAGTTTTCAACTTTTTATAAATTTATTGTACTATTTAATTTAGAAATTTGTTTGCTGGTTGTGTTGCTTGACTGATGATCTGTGGAGGTAGGTCAGTGGTTCCCAAACCGGAGCTCGCGGCAACCGGTGTGACGACACTTGTGGTCAAACTTAAATATTTATAAAGTGAGTCCGTTTATCTCTAACCTTTGTCAGTGATCACTAATAAAATATTGAATATTTATTTTAATTAATATCCAATAATTAATTGAACATAATATTACATACCTAGGTTATACCTTGTTATTATAATACATACTCCTTCCAATTAATTTTATTTTAAAAACCATTTATAAACTTATGAACATTTATTAAACTTGTTTTTCATCTTTTGTTAAGAACTATGTTTCATTAGTTTTAGAAATTAAAAAGATGTATGTTACTGTACGTATATATTTCTTTGTATAAATGAACTTCAATTTAATTTTTTAAATATTATAAACAGTAACCTATCGGCAATTCACATTGAATAAAAACAAGGAGCCTGACAACTAACACATAACCTATAAATGTGCCCATGATGAAAAAAGATTGGGAATTCCTAAGGTAGGTTATATTTTATTGTAGGTTACATTTTGAGAGATGTCAGACCTGAATAATGAGGAATTTTATTTTTCCTGTAATGTAATCAAGGCAAATCGTGCATTCAAGTAATAAATTTCATAAAGACGAGAAGTGTTAAAGATTTTGATATCTTAAATTGTAATCGGCTAGAAAAAATGTGATCACCGAAATAGCTTCCATGCCCACCATGTTTGTTTCTTTAGGAAAAAAGAAAGAATAATTTATAATGTCTAAGCACCTTAGATCTTGTGTTTGTTTATTCATGTTTTTAAAATGTCTAAGCCTAATCGATGTCCAATTGTTTTGTAATTGATCAGTGTTCAATTCATTCTAGAACTGTTCAAGCCATTTGTGTGTAGATTTATCATAATGAACTTATTTAAATTTTTTTTTTTTGCATTTGCTTTATATTTTGGTCCCATAATACATTACAAATAATCATCATAATTTTGATTCACAACCATTAATACTTAAGGTAGAATTGATGACCAACGTTTTACAAAAGTACATATTTGGATATTCTAATTATCAATAAACTATGAGTTATATTTACTTAAATGTTACATTTTTATTTTTATTTGTCTTGCGTGTTTTTTTTAAATTTATAGGTTTAAATATAAAATCATTATTATTATACATAGGAGTTGATTTGAAAATAACAAAAGAGAACCAGAAAGAATATTTGATATAAAAAAATAGGTGTACTCTAAAAAAAAAAAAATTCTTAAGCTACCTATGCTTTCTAGCATGCGCTGTTTTCGGTGGGGGTTGAAGGGTGAATGGCAGTCTTCCTGCATTTCCAATTAGCCTCATGTCTCCTAAGCAAAGGAATAGATCAAAATTAATAATCTTATATATTTCGTAAAGACTTAAATAGTTCATTAAACTTTATTAACAAATATTCAGATATGCCCAGAAAGGATTAACTTACCTGGAAGTACACGGAAACCATAGAGTGGCAAAGGTTGAAGTTTGTCATCTTGTGATCTGTCTTTTACGGTGGGAGAAGCAGGGTATTGTGTTCTGAGAGGGGAGCCGCATCTCACACCAACCTAAGCAATTCAAATAATTATCAAACAATTCTTTATAATCATTACAGATTTGTTTTTTCAATTTAAAATAGAAATTTGTAATTATTGTTGGTGTCACGTTATAATTGGAAAAATCCAAACATACCGCTTTCTGTCTCTAAAATGTAGGTAAAAACAAAATCACCTCACTCCACGACATCCTAAACACATACTGCTATACACAATATGCATAAATAATCATTGTAACTGACACATTATTTTTTACCTCGTCAACTACAAAGGGAATTGTGCAAGGAAAATTGTTCTGTTATGATTATTAATCCAGTACAATCAAGATGTAAAGTTTTAGAATTTTTTTTTTTATTGTTTATTATGAATTTTAAGTTTTTATTCTTAACTTTTTTTTCTGGAAACAAAAATAATAAAAATATCTTTTTTATATAATTGAATTATTTACATATGTTCATTATTTTATACAAAATAGAGCAGCCAAACAAAAAAAAATAATACAGCCCAATTTAAAATTGAAATTATTTACCCTGGTTTAATTTGATATAAAATTAAAATTAAAGACGACCTGCAAAGTGGGTCGAAACGTCGGCAAAAATTAAAATTATTTATATATTTTAATTTTTTTTTTTTTTTTTGACCGCACCCTCGACTAATTCCTTCTCATAAAATTAAAATATATTTCATTCAATGAAATAAAGCATTATTCTGAAACTATGAAAAGGACAAAAAAAAAAAAATAATGAAAAAAATTAGGGGATGAATTTTAAAATTGTAATAAAGATAAATGAAAAAACTTTTCAGCAAGGCTCCTTTCTAGTCTCAATGGGCTAATTAGTGGATACTCCTTCATTCATCTCTTGATGCACTGGACGAGTTTAATTTTTGAAATTCAGAAAAATAATATTAATAAATATAATGAAATCACAAGTTATCCAATCTAGTACGGTCAACTAATATTCCCCATTCCTCAAATTTTATTTTTTTTTTACAAATTAATCTCATCTTTCTCATCAGGTCAGTAAACCATTTAATTTATTATTATTAATTGTATTTAATTTACAATTTATAAAACAACTGATTCTACTGCAACAGCCAATTTGATACTTGCATTGAAAAAAAAAATGCTAAAATTTGAGCTGAAATAGAATTCAAATGATAAAGAACATAAATATGATTAAGATAATACTTTTTAAATAATAAAAACTGGGTTTACATAGCTTGAAATAACGCCTACATGTCATTAACGCCTACCAAATATAATGTAATTTTTTTTTTTTAGATCAATGGAAGGATTTTATATACAGGAAGAATTCTGGATCCTGGACTATAGAGGAAGGATTTTTAATATGGTTACTTGAAGGTATGTAAAGAATTGTACTCCCTCCTAGGGTAAATTCTTTTATTAATCATGCTTTTCTCATACATATCCAACATTTCAGGACTCTGCCCCATCTTCAGGAATATTTTATTTCCTAATGTTCCGAAGCTATAAAACTAAATATGACAATGTTAATGAAAGATGGTTAAGAACAAGGGCTCAAAATAAACCCGAATAAGACAAAATATATGGTTAATTGCAAAATTGACGATATTGCCGATGATATCGATATAGTATGTTTGAACACGTAGAGAAGTTATCTATCTAGGGTCTACGATAACTAGAAAAAACGAAATTGGAGATGAGATTAAGGTTAGGCTGAAGCCAGAAAATACTTTTTATTTTTTCTATGACAAAACTACTTAGCTCGCGTCTCCTTTCCTGGAACTTAAAAACTAGAATCTATAAAACCATTATCCTATCTTAAGTTCTTTATGGATGAGAAACATGGCCGCTTAGATTAAGGGATGAGCAATGTCTTAAGGTTTTTGAAAACAAAGTATTACGTATAGTATTTGGACCAAAGAAGGATGAGTTAAAACAGAAAGTTTAGAGGGCTATACAACACCGAATTGATGAACTGTATCTGGTTAATATAATTGAGGTGATTACATCGCAGCGAATCAAATGGGCTAGAAAAATTGTTGGACTTAGTAACGAAAGAATTCCTAAAAGATTTATATTTGCTGTGCCGACTGGTAAATGTCTGAGGGGTAGACCGAAGCGAAGGCAGGAAGATTGCGCCAAGGCCGATCTGAAGGGACTGGGTTTAGACGGTGACCGATGGAGGGAGATGTGTAATAAGGTGTGCAATTGTTGGTGTTGGCATTGAACCTTCATGTTCGATAAGCCTTTTATTATTATTATTATTATTAATGTTCCGACATTGCCCTATATGTCATCCATCATTTTTTTTCATTTTTCTTATAACTTTTCTAAATAAAATAGAAGTTAAAATTTATAAGAAAAATGATAAATTAAAAACATTATGGATGAGGACAACCTTTAGGAACATAAGGAAATAGAGTATTCCTGATAATGTAACGTTCAAAATGTCAACATGATTAATAAAGTGATTTACTCCATCAGGAAAATGAAAATTTGTTTGCATACCCTCAAGAAACTAACCGTAGTATTTTTATTTAGATGGTGGGGTGAGAGTGAAAAAACAGAAAGACATTTCTTGGTTGGAAGCTTTGAAGCTAGAAACACTATTCTAAGCTAAAAAGTGTGCGATATCCAACGCTATGAGCTAGGCAGTGGCGCGTTATGAGCAGCAGTGTCTTGACTCCCATGACATAGCTCCATCCCCACCACTTTTCTTTAATGCTAATTATCATTGAGAATATGCATTAAAAAAATTCATGCAAGTAACTAATTCTGTATCCACTATTTTTCCATTAACTGTCACCTTGGAAACAAGGTTTTAAACCCTTCCTACACATAAGCATATTTTAAATTACAAATATTTTTTATAAAAAACAAAGAGAGTGAGAGTTACACATTTTATTTGCATCTTAACTAACATTTTGGAACTTAAATAATTCTTTAGTTATGAAATGACAATTTTAATTTATAAAAAATAAACAATATATAAATGATAATATATTACATAGCAACTTATCTTAAGAAGCACTATTGTGAACCTTTCAATAGATAGAAAATAAAAATAGCTACACTATTTTCTACTAGAGCACACTTCCTACATTAGATTAATTTCTAAATTATCAAATGGATAGTCATGAAAGTGTCGTGTCGAGATGACATAGTAAGTTGTGCATAACATAGTATCGTTACTATAATAACAGGAAGATTAATAAATTAAAAAGAAATATTTGGTAGGCATTACTACCAATGTTGAAATGCATGCTTTGTGCTATATATGTTTCATTCAAAATATGAAGAATAGATATCGGTTATCCAAAATCTATTTGTAATTTAAAATATGTAATTACAAGTAACATTTCACACAATAAACGCTAACTACGAATTTTTATTATATTCATCAGTTTCAGGAGAGAGGGAGGAAGAGGAAACACTAAAAACAAACAATTTAGGTATACTAACACTATGCAGTCCATAATATCGGTTTGTTATGACTGGGGATATAACAAACTTTTCAAGAAAATGTAAGCAGTAATTGCAGATATTTATCTTAACTTCTTAATTTATTATTTTTGTATTAATTTCAGTTATTTTCCTACAATATTTTTCTCATTAAATTTATAATTATTGGTTTTATAAACTCCTCCATCAGTTTTAAAACTATAGTGGTGCTTTCTTTGAAAATTTGATGGAAAAAGACTATAAGTGCATAAATATGAAATCGGAACTTTCGCATAGAATATAGATGTTTATACACATGTATTAGAAATATTGTTCATTACTAGATATACATTTTCCCATCTCTCGAGAATTTTAAAAATGCCAGAAAAACTGTTGCTATTTTGCAGCTACCACCCTTTTTCATAAGAAGTGAAGCGATGCGAGCAAATGCGTCGCCATCAATCCAAATAAATAGTAGTTGAACAGAGCCAAGCCTGGTGTAAGTAAGCCGCATGCACTAATATTTCCCAACTGAACACCTCAATAGTTTCCTTCGCTGGTTTTGCTGCATGTAGGTTTTTGGTGATGGTGCATTATCGTGAAGCAAAATCACTTTGTCTTGTCTTTTTTGGTATTTCGGTCGTTTTTCATGCAAGACTTGTCAATAGCATTCAGTATTAACAGTTTTGCCAGGTTTAGCAGCTTATAATTGATCACACTCTTCTGATCCCATTAAACACTATAGTACAAAAATAACAATTCAAATTTAGAACAATTTTGACTGAATTGTTCACAAAACTACCATTTTTGAGTAATTCCATTATTCACGACGAAAGGTGATTTGTTTATTCTCTAGAATATTTACATTGACATCAAATAATCGAGAGGGAGGTAAAACAATATAAATATATGCATAGAGAATATACTATCTGGAAGTGCAGGTCTTAAAATTCTTTACACATGCAGCAATCAAGTTTTGTCTACAAGGCTCGAGCACTCAAGGAGCAATAGCTAATTTCAGCCTTTGCTAAAAACTGTTTGATTAATAAATTTTAGTTAAAGCAATGCACTCTTTTTCTTTTCTTTTAAATTTATCAACATAACTATTGCTTTATAAATAAATATCAGATATGTTACACTTTAAACATTTGAAGGACGAACTATTCATACCTGTTATTCAAGGGAGTAAAGGAAAAATAATATATAATAAAAAGAAAAGAAAAGGAAAAAAAACAACAAAGAAATAAATGCATCAGCTGTGAAAGAAAAAAAATGGAACACTCATATTTAATGTACTCTATCAAGGGAAGAAATAATAATTTTAATTAAGCTATAATGGTTAAACATTGTTAGAACTAACTTTCATTTTCATTTCATATTATATAAAAGTTTTGTACATAGTTTCATCTATATAGTATATAGCTTGTTCACCTAAGGTTTTCTTTACTTTTTAGGTTATTTTATCAATTTTATTTATTGTTTCAAACTTTTAGGCCAGTAGTATTCTATTCTTTTGTTCAATTTTGTTATTCTAAAGGGACTTAGTCCCGGAATAATGATTTTTTTTCTATCTATCTAGCTGTATAGGTCAAACAGCCCAATATTTTATAGGCCACTTTTTTATTTTTATCTTGTGATCAAATTATCTCAAGATTAATTGAAGAGAAGGATGGTTGGGGTGATCAGTCAAAATAAAAGGGCAAAAATAAATAATTGTATACATTTTCTGAGAAGGAGTTGATCGGGGGCTGCGGTCAAATAAATACTAAATTATAGAAATAGTATTATTTAATTTTTATGGCGACGTTCCAACCCTCTTTGCGGATCTTCATCAGGGCTACAAAAGATACAAAATATAAAAGGTACATGGTGAAAATAAAATAAATAAATATAAGTAGTAATAAAATAAGAAGAAGTTGTCTGATAAAGAAATAATAAGATGATATCAGAAATATAGTGGGTGACATCTCTGATATCATCTTTTTATTTCTTTATCAGACAACTTCTTATTTTATATCTACTTATATTCATTTATTTTATTTTCACCATGTACCTTTTATATTTTGTATCTTTTGAAGCCCTGATGAAGACCTGCAAAGTGGGTCTAAACATCAGCATAAAAACTAAATAATACTATTTCTATAATTTAGTATTTATTTGACCGCACCCCCCGATCAACTCCTCATGTTATATCACGGTCAACCATCTCTACATCATTATGTATTTATTTTCACATTCGCCGAATTTTCGGCACAAAGTTCAGGCCTTCATCAGGGCTGCTCTACCAACAAGCGTAGACAGACAGACGTATTGTAGCGGAAGGCAGAAAGCCTCCCACTATAATACGTCTGTTTGTCTACTCTTGTTGGTAGAGCAGCCCTGATGGCCTGAATTTCGAGCCAAAACGTCAGCGAATGTGAAAATAAATGCAATTATTTATTTTTACTATTTTTTTTTTTTTTTTTTTACTGATCACCCCAACCATTCTTCTCTTTAATTATTCACAACAGTCAACAGTATGAGTTTTAGTAGTACCTCATTAAATTAATTAATTGAATAAGAAAACGACTTTTTCTGATAATTTTTGTAAATAAAAAATATTTAACCGTTGATAAGATGAAGCTATTTACGAAGACTTAGACGAATGTTAATAATTTGATAAAAAGGGGTCTGTACCACGGACTAAGTGGATGGCAAGTCGACAAAAACCTGAAATTAAATATATCAGTTCTCATGTTTTATTTTATTTATAAGATTATCAAGAATTTTTTTTAAAACACTAGTGGCAGCATCTTGGTTGTACATCCTTAATCTACAAAGTTTTTAAGAAATTTGACTAACAGGACACACTAAAGGAAGTATTTATTTCAAGAACGTTATAGAGCTTGCAGGGAAAGAAGGGGTTATTTATTTAGGCAAGTCCTAAAGAAAATAGGGTCTTTTCGAAAATGCTTCATCTTGTAATTTTTTATTTAGAGCAGGAGTCTCCAAAATATGGCCCACGGGTCCAGAGCCCGCAAGCACCTCCGATCTGGCCCGCACAAGTTTCTTTACTTAAGTGATAAAATTAAAAAAAAAAAAATATTTAAAAATAAGAAATTTAGTTAATCATTCAAACAGGAGGTTACTATGGCATTTATTGTATGAATTGTTTGGAGACCCCTGATTTAGAGTAACGGTGGTTAATAACTTTTATTTAAGCGTTAGAAATCATATGCTATCAACCAAACATTATTATTGGAAAATGAATCTAGTGGCTTTTTGAAGCTCTTAATAATGATGAAACAAAAGATTTTAAAATATTTCAAGATAAATGAATAATTAATAATGAGATAATATCAAATGAACAGACATCAAATGAAGATGAGCCAGAAAAAAGGAATTATAATAAATAAAACATGTGTTTTATTAATATAAAATCACCGTTACTTTAAATAAGATGTTGCAGGGTAGAGCACTTAGAAAAAAAAAAAAAAAATGGTAATTATGCCTTTTGGTAAAAATAAAATAAATTTCTATGATAATAGGTATATGTTAAAGTAATTTGAGTGTTCGATTTCTCTTCTTTATTGCTGAGTATGTTATAATGCACTTCAACTTAATCTATTAATTGTATTTATTGAAAAAAAAAAAAAAAAATCAACCAAAACAAATAAAACAAACTAAAATCAACAACTTAAAAATAAGCAAACTAAGCCTAAAATGAAAATAAAAAATAAAAAAATAAACAAAGCTAAGGTTTAATAAATAAAACTTATTATTCGTATATAGTTTTGCTTGAGTGTATTTAAATTGTAATCATGCCTAAGGGATACCTGTAGAGCAGGTTTCCTGAAGAGTTGCGCAGGAACGGGAAGCGAGGCAGTCGGCTGATTGTATTGTCCAGGATAGCAACCGTTGTATACGGCGAATTGACCACAGGCGCCCTTCCAAGGAAAAAACAATCTTTTTTTTCTTTTTCATTTTAAAGATGGTGTTGACCAGGCTTATACAATGTTTAATATATAATCATTCGTTTGTTTGCCTATTGTCAACTCTGTCGATAAATATAATATTTTGTTTTGTAGTAATCACACATTCACATGATCAAAACTTTGCAATGATGAAGACAAAACAATAATAAAAATTATAAGGGAAAACACAAACCTAATATAGAGTAAAATATCCATTTTTCCAACTGGGTATCAGGTATATTTAGCTTCAGCCAGTTTATAAAATAACAAAAAACAGTATCTGATAATGATTATAATTAGTATATCAGTGATTCAGTTTTTCAACTAAAGATATCATTAAGACCTTGTTATATACTTCGATAATAGTACATTAATTATTAATTAATGACAAGTAATCTTTCATCAGCTGTGGATCTACCCTGGGGTCGGGAGATCCTTCTGGGGCACACTTAGTCTCTGTAAACTGAGTACTCTTAGTAATTAATAAAGAGGAAAAACCTGACTGTTGAGTGTGATTCGGGCCCGATCACATTCTTGGAACTAAAACCCTTCATGGGTTGTAGTGATACAGATTTTTATAATATAAATTACATCAAATAAAAAAATCTGGTACCACAATATATTTTATTCTTAATAAAATTAATTGATTTTTATTAATTATTACCATTCCTTATTTAATTGGAAATTGGAATTGCCATACATGTATTTCACTAACAGGACAAAATATTTTGTGAACAAAAAACAAATAAATACCCAAAAACAATTGATATTGAATTAATTGCAATAATGGAATTCACATTAACAGATTTTTCTGAAAGATAAAAATAAATATTTCAAATGCCTTTGATTGTTTGGAAGGTCTAATTTTCAAGTAAAATAACTGGCCGATGCAACTAATTTATAAGCAGGTCTTGATTGTAAGAGAGTGTGAATTTGAGTTATATTCGGAGAATATAAAATGAATTCTATTTTTCTTTCTTTTTAATAAATACATTATATAAAATTAAATATTTACCTGAGGTGCATGTGGAGAAGTCGGGTGCGGACACGGTTGGGGATATTGAACGGCTAATATTGGAGCACTGCAGGTTGTCATGTTTCCGTAATAGCTCGCATTGGAATGGCCTCCATTGTGATTTCCATTTGTCTGAATACTTCATAAAAAAAAAAAATATTAATAAAAATTTGGAAAAACAGTTTAGTACTAAAGGCAGTATAGGTAAACAACTTAAGAAAGAACCTTTTGTTATTAAAATACATTCAATTTACAAATTAGTACATATGGACGTAACAACATAAAACAAATTAAAATTAAAAAAAAAAAATAGATGGCGGGATATTTGATAAGGCAGCTCCCTAAAGCAATTTAGAGGAAGAAGGGCTTTACATTCCTTGAACGTAGCCTCTTTAACATAACCTTATATGTCTATATTATATTGATCTAAACTGTCGGATGTAAGATATTTTGTATCTTCATAAAGTTAATCACTTTTACTTATTGTGATGTTTTGGAACTAATTATTAATATACTGTAAAATGTATATAGTTAAATTTAAAACTAATGTAATAGTAGCATTTATTTTATTCATTAATAAAATAAATTAATTAGCAGATATTTAATAGAAGGTCAAACAATTGAATTAATTTGAACCACAATACCAGCAGTTATTCTAATTTTTATTGCATTACCATCATTACGTTTACTATATAAAATCAATTAACTTAATAGTTATACACTCATTATATTAATCATATATCTATTTTTTTATTTTCATATTCATAAAAATATGTAAATATACAGATGCATGAAGAATATAATAAATGTTAAAACTATGAAAAAGTGATGGTGATTGAAATTATAAATTTTTTTCAACATACCACAATAGATAAAAATAGTCATCAACAAATGAAGTAAGACTAAAACACAGCCTTAATGATTAAAGGCAAGATAACAAATAGGCTAATTAATAATGTATTTAAACTATAATATTACCTATTATATGGCGTAGGAGTATAGTACATGTGAACTGCCGAAGGGGCGTACGGAATACATTCGGAACCAGGGTAGCCTCCACCATAGCAATTTCCTGAATAATAATTAAACAATTATTAACAAAATAAAATAATATTATATGCTATATGACTTATACACCTACACTAAATATAATACCATAACATAAATCTCTTCTCAGACTCTTTGAAACAATGGATGTGGTATCAAAAGAAAGGGAATTTCATGGAGAAGAAAATAATGCGAATTTCAAAACTTGAAACCTTACAACTGCGATTAAATTCATTGAAATAATTCAGAAGTTTCAAAACTCAGGTGTTTTCAAAAAATCAACAGATTGTATTTAAAATATAAACTGTAATGTAATTCTTACCAAAAGCCTCTTACACGCTATAGTTGCCATAGGATACTTATACATGTTTGGGTTGCAAAAACTAAAAATTGCTTTGTTTGTATTAATCTTCGACAAAATAAAAATCAAATGAAAAGATAAATGGAGGAGAATAGCTCTTTGAACCCTTAGGTACTTCGGATAATATGCAAAGAAAGATTTTTATATTTTAAACAAATAAAACAAAATATCTAGGTATGGCTTCTATATTCTCAGTAATAAACTTCTTTACTCTTAGAAGTGAGAAAACGGCAAACAAATGTTCTTCTGCGCTAAGCAAATAGATCTTAGCCTTTTAGCAATGATGAGCAGGAAGGGAGGAGCAGTCTTTAGGACAGCATTAGCTGATAGTGCTCAGCGACGGAATACTTTTCATCATTTCTTTAGCCTTTTTATTTATAGTATTACTCCAAACTTTTTTTTTATCAAACTTTAATACCATAGAAAGGCCAAAAGATATTTTCAAAATAGAATTCATCACTGAGCACCCCATCATTAAAAGAGAAGAGCGGCTTTTTTTTTGTTTGTTCTTCCCTTCCTCGCCTTTTAGGCTATACGGGAGTTTCCCCAGGCCAGCGGGTGATTATTGTCAGAGTTAAAAGACCCCCTGACACCGGAACCCGAACTCGTGATTATCTTGTCGTCTATATCTTGGTTATCAGGTTGCCGGGCAACTCACAGTGCCATATGCACGGAGGAAGAGCGACTATTGACTCATATATGAGTTCACTGTTGCCTCGACCTGACTCTGTCTCGACTCATATAAGAGCACGATAATGGATTAGGATAAGTTCAGGAATAGCTAAATCTTATGGCTTAAGTATTTAACTGTAGGTATATCTTCCAATTGGATAAACCAATCATTTATTACATAAATTGTTAATTAAACAGTTGAGTTAAAGTAAAAACCTTCACCAATTTAATACTGAATAGACCATCTTGATAACATTGCGTAGTATACACGAATTAATATGTTCTGTTGATGTGCCTTCCACGTTGATTGTATTAGGGAGAAGGATAGGTTCTTATTTGAAGAGTTTTTGCAGGGGTTTACTACACTAGCTATTCTATCAGATCATGAACATGCATGAAATTTTTAATGCACCTCTGGACGGCCTCATATCCTCTGTCCTGATCATAATGGATAATAACCTACCTTAAACATGAGGTTCAAATAATTTTAAAGTAAGAAATAAAAAATATAAACATGAAAAATACCTGGATGTTCAGGCGGAGGATGTTGCTGCGGAGGAGGCGGAGCAATGTACGGCTGAGGTGGCGCCAACGGAGGGTATCGCTGCCCTCCTCCAGGAGCTGTGTAGTATACGGTACCGCCCTGTGGCTGGGCCTATATTTATGTACATTGTTAAATTACACTGATGGTTTTTCAATTTAATTATTATTTTGTAATCTTATAAATAAAATATCACATACAAATTGATATCTATTAATTTCAGATTTATTAGATATTTAGATGAATCGAGTCAAAATACCTGAACGTGATGAGGGGGCCAATATAGATGTCTACCGTCTGAAGGAATATGAGCCCCAGGTTGCCTCGAACCATCTAAGCTCAATCCAACCATATATTGAGATAAATCACCTCCATTCATACTCTCCTATTGAACAAAAGAAAAATAAATTTAGTTTTTTATATGTATTGTACATAGATGTGAATGTGTTTTATTTATATTTTTATCATTCGGCTTTAATCAGTTATTTTACTTATCTTGTATATTACTTTATGTTATTATTTACTCATATTGTAATGTCCTCGTTCCCTCCAAAATCAAACAACCAGTTTCTTTTTCACTATACCATTTATTCCTCACACATATATAAATTCTCAGGTTGGGTTCTGACAACTGAACACTCATTCAAAATTAAATAAATAACTGTAAGCTACACTAATTTACTATAAATTATACATATAGAAATTATAATTGTTTTCAAAACTATTGATTGTCATGATCTAAACTTTGTGGCTATATCCCTCTGTCAATATAAATGGCATTGTTGGCAATCACCCAAATATTTACGCCTGTCAGTGAAATAAACTATTCTTATTCATGAATGTTGCAACGTTTTCGGTACCACTGAATTAATTTCCAAAAGTTCTTTCTTCCAACACAAAGTAATCACCACTAGTGGCCTCTATCAACACTCGGACCGGCCAGTATTCCTTTTAGATCTTCTTGACTTGCTGGCTGGTCACCTCCTGCCATTCCATGAGGCTTGCTTCCTCCACCATCAGCACTTCCTGTCAGTAGTTCGTGATGTTACCACATATATATATTTTTTTTCTTTCTCTTCTTACTTGGTTATTTTTATTTATTTTCCTTTCTTATATATATATATATTGTGTGAATGAACACTATAGCCCTAGTACCAATGCCCTTCAGTGTGGCAGACTGTACTGTATTAATACTCAATAAAAGAGTAAAAAAGTTTTTTATATCCTTTTTGAAATTCATTACAATTATTGCATATATCAAACTTTTATACATCAAAAGTATATCAAACTTTTTTTTTATTCTTGAATTATTATCAGAAAAAAAATATTCTGCTAATCAAAAAGCAACATTTGAAAAAATGTTAAATATAATTGTCATTGTAAATGACTCTCAGTTATCGTTTATAATAACAGGCAATAATAAAATGAAAAAATAGAAAGTATGAAAGAAACATTAGAAAGACACCATTGATACTCGCTATATTATCAGAAAACAATTATAAATTATACTTAAATAATCCTTTGAAAACATTTACCTGAACTCTATGTTGATAATGATGAGGTGGTTGCGGAGGATACACAGGATGAAACTGGATTTGCTGAGCTTCCAGTGAATGGGTATATTGTTGAGCTGGTGGCAGGTATTGAGCTTCATAACCGTTTTCTATTTTATTTTGGACAATCTCACAGCCCTCTGTATTATAAAAAAAAAGAAAGATATAGCGTTAAATCAATAGATAATTAAATTAAAAAAATTATCAATTTCAGAAACAATTCCAAATGAGATTCATAAAACATCATTTACATCAAGAAAATAATTAATAAGTACCATTAAAAGTCTTTAATTACTAATAATGAAAATTGAAAAAAATAGTAACATCACAGAGACAGAAAATACATTAATTTCTAAAAATTATAAAAAAAAGTTGTATACAGGATGATCAAAGGATTTGATGATTGGCTGGGATCTAAGAAACTAAGATTTCATCGATTCAGGCTAACTGGAGACAATTATAAAAGGCAAAGAATAAGACGTAATTGTCCTAAGAATAACGTGATTGTATGGTTAATTGTTTCTGGTATTAATCAAGTTTATATAGAACACTGTTTAATACTAGACATGAAACATATATGTATAACAAAATTTTAGTTTCAACTGATAAATTTGCTCCTAGTAAGAGGATCTAAGTTTCATATAGAAAAGGATGATTTTCTCTTATCTACACACTTTAATATTTATCATTTCGCTGATGTAAATTTGTATTGCTTCCCCACTACCGAAGGTAGAGAAGCTTTGTATTCATACGAGAGATCAATACAAATTTTGGGCTCAGAATCAAAAAATTTCCACTTGTGTTTTACGTTTCAGACATCAAGGATCGAATTTGGTTTGGTGTCTGTCGGTAGAGCGAGTTGGTGCCTAGATGGCGCCATATAAATTTTGTCAAATTCCATCCACCACTTCCAGTTATACATGCGCAAGCTAGTGAGGAGTTTTAGATATGCCAATATTTCAGAAACTGCTCATACAATTTGACTTAAGTTCAACAAAAGGTAGGAATTGGTGAAAACATAATATATTACCAATTTTATTGAATTCCGTTATACGTCTATACCTCTTAAGTCGATTTGGCTTAAATATGGAGGGAAGTTAGAGATTGGTAAACAGATATTCAAATATGTATAAATATTATAAAACTATAACCATTACTTTAAAAAAAAAAAAAAAACTTTCGATTTAGTATAGAAATTTCCTAGTATCGATTTCATTAAATAATTACAATTAATATAAATAACTGTTAATAATATACTGACTTTACTTGGCAGATTTTTTAAAAATTTGAGCTCTGATGATGACCCACATGTTTGGGTCTAAACATCAGTGAACTCAATAAACATAATTTTTTTAGTGCACTTCCTGACCATTTTTTATGCTTGATCTTAGTTTTAACTTCTTGAGGGAACTGGCCTAACTATAAGACATGAATCACATGGAACACAATAGAAGTAATAGGGAGGAGTCAAACGTCATGATTTGGTGTCCATATCTACCCTTTTTTTATCAGAAAATTTAAGATATTGGTATTTCTTATTATTAATTTTAATTATAATAAAATACATTACGTAGTTAACTTTTATTTTATTATGAACATCAATTTATGTATTCAGATTTCGATAGTTAGTTCAGTTGAATAAAAGATGTACTAATTTACAAATTTATTAATAAAAACGTTATTGATCATTTAGGTTAAATTAGAAGTAAAAACCTTTTGTCAAATAATGTAACCTTTCCTAATATTTTAAAATAAACATTGTTCAGAATATACTTGCAATGAAACTGAACAAATGCCTAGTTTATTAGGATATTGCAACTATGTATACAAAAATTTGTTCTATTAACAATGTAATTATACAACTTTGATTACATAGATATAAGAAAAAAACAAATTATATTTGCCATATTAAAAAAAATATATATGTAAGAATTATAGGCAACAGCATTAATACAATTAATAAAATAATTCAAGGCAATCAAATAATACATAGGAACAAGTCATTGACTAATAAATATTTTTAGTTAAGTCATTGACTAATAAATATTTTTAGTTAAGTAAGGTTATAATAGCTGTTTTCTATTTCCGTTTAGTTTAAATTTTACATCATTTTTTTTTATAATTAAACCATTTTGGTAGACTACCTGCAACTAACTTAACAGAAGCCCTGTCTTGAATTAGATAGTTAGTTCATCTATTCGTGGCATATTTGGAATGAAATGTCTAATTTATACCGTTAAATAATTATGGTACTGGTTCCAAATCGCCACTAATGATAACTGGTGTCAGTTTCGAGATCACTTTAAGCACACTGTAAACGGAATCCAGAGGAACGACAAAATTAGCTGTGTATTGAAAATCATACAAATGCACAGAAAGCTATTACTGAGAGAAAAAAAGTGATTTTTTATTATAGCACAAAACACACTTGATCATAAAATAATTAAATTCATTATCAACCATACAATATAGATTACAGAGAAACACATTTTAAAATAGTAATTTAGTTTTGACTATAAAGTGTTTCAATTATATCACTATTTTTAATCCTTAGTGTCCTAATTAATAATTGTGCTTAAGAATCGGAAAGAATTCAGGTGAAGTTGACCATAGGTCAAAAACTTAAATTACGAACAGCAGACTTACATTTCGATAAGTCACTTTATGCTAATATCTCTCTCTCTCTATATATATATATATATATATATATATATATATATATATATATACATAAAAATGAATGAATGTCTGTTTGTCCTTTAAGCATTAATAAACCATTCATCCGATCACTATGAAACTTAGGGAAGTTGTTGCGTACACTTCCGCGAAGGTTTCTGGCATAGTACTCTCTTACGATAATTTTATATGTATAAAAAAAATAAAAATGTAAATGTTTTTTCTCTTCAAATCCGCTATTCTCCAAAAGTTCTTCACCGATTGCTTTGAAATTTTGACAGTGTTGCAATCGAATTCAAGAGTGTTTTTGAACATTTCATTACCATCCGGCCTTTCGTTTTGAAATGGAGGCCGAAAAACATGTTGCTATAAACTGTAGTGTCAAAACGGCTTTAACAATTTTAACAAAACTTGGCTAAAGTCTTCCCCTTGAAACCATTTTAATTTATGTGTATAACATAAATGATGAATTCAAAATTTTAGTTAATAACTTAAAAAGTACACAATTTTTTATGGATAATACCCAAATTTATTTGAAAGATTCCTGAATTCCCTACAAAATATTTTTTTTTAAATAATTGAAATCGGACGATTCGTTGCAGAGTTACAGAAAAGGTCATTTCCTTTTTTTTGTTATTTATTAATCGAAAATTTTATAATTACTACAGTAATTGAAATTATCATTTGAAGAAGTGATACGATTCTCCATATGTAGATCAATACTATTATACGCTCTTTATATTAATTTTTTATTTTCTGCCAATGTATTCTGGAAGTAGTATGATACATCTCAAATATTTGATTTGCTATTATTTAAAAATATTTAACTCTTGAGTAATAATTATCACCATTTATGTTCCTTTTAGAAATCATTTTTTTATTAATTTCTGTTTAATTTATTCTTTAATAAATGCTTTTCTCTAACATTACGTTGGAATAAGGTTGTGCCGTTTACCATAGTTTCTTTCATGAGTAAGGTTTATTTTTTCACTACAGTTTTTACAACTCTATATTTAATCAAGTTGTTATTAAGAAGAAGCAAGCAATCAACTATCTTAGGAGGGGTATGCGAAATCTTTTGAGAAAGGTGGAAGGTAGCTCTAATACACACGAAATGAATGCTATGATAATTGGTAGTGCAATTTCAATGCATTGCCACGATTAATCATGGTCAGGAATTGAACCGACTTAATCTCAGTAATAGCAGTAAGATTACAATTTAATAGCAGTTTTAGGTCTGTGCCTAACTATAAAATTAAGCAGTTTTGACGAAAATTCAATTACTTGTTCTTTTCCAATATAGGAGTTATCCTACAGGTAACAAGCGCATACTATTCCCAGTGGGAAGATTGAGTGAGATTCATTCCAAGGGTCCACAACAAATTAAATTAAGACAAATATTACCAAAACAAACATTGTGGTATATTAATACAATTAATGATGATAAGGAAAGAACTCTAAATATTTCAATTCATATTTAGGTTTATATATACAATGTTTGAGACACCACCACTTTCTAAAGTTAAGCCTCGCTTTCTAATATTTAATTTTCTGAAATATTATTAAATGGCTTTTTGCAATAAACCAAAGATATAATCTCTTAATATCTGTTACTGCCTATGTTTATTATGCCAGTGGGCTTGCTTTTCACATTTTTCTGTACATCAATTGTTATTTTTATTAGTTTAATTTTAAAAATACCTTTGTAAAATGGCGATGAGAGTTACCTTGCTTTTTAGTTAACAAGTATATAGCTGAACAAGAGAGCATAGTGGTCACCCTCTTTTGATCAGCCTATACTTTATCTTAATATGTTTCCTATATGTCAAGATTCATTCTTTATTCTATCTCTGGAATAAACCAATATTGTTATTTCATTGCACCATTTTTATTTAATGAATAAACGACAACTACCTATAAGTTGTCCTTACTCTCTTTTAAATTTAATTGTTAAAATTGATTTAACTAATATTTTGAAATAAGTAGCCATAAATACAAAACAATTCATATATTGATTTAAAATCCATAGTGTTTTATTGTCCTGATTGTGGATTATTATATACAAAATTAAAAACAACCAATTTTTCGATATTAAAAATTATATTTAATTTTTGAAACAAAAATTATTCTTTACACATTAAAAACCCACCAGATGGCATCACCTCGCTGTGGTGAGGACTGGAGTTCACCGATACTTTCCCTTTTTAAAAGGCAACAAAACATTGAAATACACTGACAGCAGTAAGCAAGGAAATCAATCTTCAATGCTGAACGACCATCTTATTAAGTGCCGTAGTGCATACAAGCTCCGCTTAAAAATGTTTATGTATTATAGTATAATTTGGAAAAACTCGTTATCTTTTTAGTAAACCTAAACATTCATGAAATTACAATATTTAGAAAAACATAATGTCCATTCTGAGCACGTTTTAACAAATAAAAATAAAAATTAAATTAAATTTAGATCAGTCCCAACCCAACTTAAATTTCAGTTTACATTGCTCCCTCAGATACATTAAGTAAACCTACGTCGAACAAGTGATACTTCACACATTCAAAACAGAGTGGGAAGAAGAATCCATGGTTTCACCATTATATAAATTTCCCAGATCAGATTCGAACCTGCGCCATTAGATTAGAAGTTGCTAATGTGATGCCTAAATACTCTTATTCATTATTAACTCAGTAACTAATTTATAACTATCATATAAAATAAAAATAGAATCATATAAATAAATAATTAATATTAATTTACAATAAAATAAACAAACTAAAGGAAACAATAAATTTATTCAGTTTATAAATTTTAAGATAGGAAAAAGTAAGATATGTTTAGTATTTAATGTTACAAAATGAGTTGTTAAAGAGAAGTTGAATTAATGCAATTATATAGAAAGAGAAAAAAAGAAGACAAATGAAGAAAAGGAAAATAAAAGACTACAACGATCACAATTTAGTGTGCCAATTTTTATCCACCGGAAAAAGGTTTATACTATTTCTTTTGAAAACGTTCTTTTTCGATAATCCAGGAGCCCACAGCTCAGTAGAGCCTGTCAAACATCTGCGACTCTGGCAATGGTATGGTTGAAGCAATATCGTCTTTGTATAATTCGAGAGGAGGCCAGTTGTAATAATCGACTGGTTCGGCCACGGGAGGAGGATGGTTGGGCGATGTATAGAAATAAGTAGTGCCAGAGTTTTCGAAAGTATATACCAAAGCCTCCATCGGGATTTGAGGAGGAGGCTCCACGTACGTTGTTGCCGGGATGAATAAAGGATCATAATAAACCTGAGGTATAATGATGGCAGTGCCAGAATAATCAGGTACACATTCAGAACCTTCATTAAAAACATTATTAAAATTAGTAACGTTGCCGTTATTGTTGGGAGTATTAATGATAACGCCATTAATGTCATTATTGATAATGCCTCCGCTTCTCATTAAGCTATTGTTTCGCCTTCGATTATTAGTTCCCTTCCCTCCTCTACCTCTCTTCTTCCACTCACCATGTTTTGCTGGTGATTGGGAGCCTTGAGGGGCGTTTGTTACTTGAGCACCTGCGTTATTGTCGGCAATCATACGAGGAGGGTTGTTAGGATCATAGTGGTAGATGCTGCCATCAGGGTTGGTATATGGTTGACCACTCTGTAAAATACAACAAATAATATCTAATAGAAAATTACCAATAAAAAATAAATAAAATAATCAATTCATTATATCTAAAATACTTGAAGGTCTGAATGGAAGAACCAGTGATATTAAACAAAACATAAGGCTTCCAGTAAATCAGCAAGTATAAGCTTAGATTTCATGTGATGTTTCAGGGCATATCAAATAGTACCAAAGTCTTTTGCATCATTTTTTTTTTTAATTAAAATTAAATAAATTATGGTTAAAAAAAGCTTAAATATTTTCTCTTAAAGAAAATAAGTAACTAAAATTGACATACCCTTTTGAAATTAGTATCAATTATTTTATGAAAAATTTCCTTTTGTCTTAAAGATGATAGGCATTTATAAGCAATAGTGTCAAAACAAGGGAAGACCGGCCATACTAGTTATTTGCGACTATGTAAATTTCTATCGACCAATAATTTAGTGTTCCACAAAAGAGGAAATTGAGCATGTTACAAATGAGCTCAGATCTTCCACCAGTCAAGACGGCAATATTATCTATTGAATAAAATGCAATTTTTCAAAAAATTTTCAGACACTTCATTATAAAAATTCAATATTTTTATAAATTATAAGCTAAAGCCTATGACCCATCAAAAATAAAAATGTATTAATCAAGATAAATGCTCCAGCATACGAATTTCTGGTTTTATTTCTAATTGACTTTAAACTTATAAAATAAATAGATAAAAAGGAATATGATTCTTTATGATATCCATTTTTATTTTTCTTAAGTCCTATTAATTATAAAAGTAATTAGAAAGCACATGCGGATAAGCAATATTGAACAGTGTTTTGTATAAATAAAACAAAATTATTGTAAAATATTTTCAGCATGCATAGAAAACACTAGTTTTATTATATAACAGACATATAAATACTTATAGCAAGGTAAATAGTAGACATTCATGTTTTTAATGGATTTTTTTTTTTTTATACAAAGATAAATACAACCTAAAAGTATCCATGTGGATATTGTCTTGACAATGTAAAAAATAAAAATTGTGGCCAATACTAGGATATGAGAAACTGATTTAACTAAAAGTTTCTACTCCCTTTAGTAGTCATGATTAATATAATTGATTTATGGTCCACAGCAGACACAATTACTCAAGACGTAACAACTTGATTTCTAAATACTTTCGTCATTCAAAAGTTTAGACCAGAGCAGTTGTAGCCGAGGTGATACCACTGATTTCGGATTAAAATTATGACCATTGTGATATTGTTTTAAAAAATTAAAATAACAACAAGCAGGTTAGAAATTGCAACTATTGATGAAAGTGCAAAAAAAAAAAAAAAAACTCAAAAATATGTGACAAAAGACTTCTGGCCAATTGGGTATTATCATAAAAATAGAAATCACGTAATTTGAGCTGAAATTCAAGCGATAAAAAAGTATATACGATAGAGATTGCACTATTTAAATAATAAAATAAAACAGAAATAACAAAAGCTCTTGGAGGTAAGGTAGGTATTAAATTGGGGTAGAGGTATTATCAAACACAATCCTATAAAGCATCTATTATCCCTACCTTTATAAACATAAATTTATTAAAGCTAATAAGATAAATTTTGAACTATCATTTATATTCAGAGACAAGATGGAAATACTACTAAACTAATGATTGTGTAAAGTAGTTGGACCAGGAGCAAACCCTACTGCCAGAATTTCCTCAATTAAGAGAAAAAATGAATCATGTGGAAAGGTTATAATTGTTAAATAAAACTATTTATTCAAAATATATTAGAAAACAGACAGAGGTACAACAACTCATTGCGTAATTGGAAACTGTTGAATTGTGTTATGATTTGCAGCACTTTGAATAATTTTCAATGTTTATATATTAGTAAGTGAAAAAGCATATCAATTCAGATAATAAACAAGTCTTATTTAAGACACATGTAAGCTGAACTATAGGCCATTATGGTGATCAAAACATAAACAAATACCAAAGAGTCGTGTGGATTTCAATAAGATTTCTAAAAACATAATTCGAAACCAAAATAATAATAATAATAATGATTAAAAAAAAAAGCAAAACAGAAACAGTCATGGATGTTTTTTTTTCTTGTGTTTTCAGGGGAAAGGTTGCCAGGCAACATGCTAAGTTACCTGCGGATGGATGAGAACTGAACCAGGAGGTACTGAAGATAGGTCACTCACTGCCCAGACAACAGCCTCCGGCTCAGGCGAGAGAGCACACGTAGTGCTCTGCGATGACAACTAATCCGCACCAATCGCATAACAAATTTCGTCAGCATGTTACATTACATAACATCATTTTTTTTTCTTTTAACTCTCTTTGACTATTTTAATAACTAACATCAGCTAGAATATTAAAAGTAAAAGAAAATTCTCTTTTTTTTAAAAGTAATCTATCAGATAAATTATTCAATAGTCTACTCCAATTTTTTTTTTTTTTTTTGTATGCTGACATATTTTAACCTTTTCTGAATGAATAACTTTAAAAGCAGAATTATTAATGATTCACAAAAAACATAAAGAATTTTTTTTCTAAAAATGATACCAAAATTATCATTCTCAATTTACAAGATTTATACCTAACAGTTTAAACTAATTGTCAAACTTTGCCATGGATATTAACCCACCTGAGTATGAAGGTTCGGTGTGGCAGTAGGAGAGGGTGTTGCACTAAGGGTAGCGTCTGACCTCTGAGACTTGTAACCAGAACTGGATGGGGAAATGCGTGAAGACATACTGCTCCCCGAATCTGAAAATTTAGTCATTAAAAATTAAGATTAAACAAGTCACAAAAATTTTTTACATATAACAATTCAATTTCCATATAAAAAATTCAGCCTTAACTCTTCATGCAACTATTAAAAATTCTTGAAGGAAATCTTATCAATCAATATTCTACATATCATGGGTGATAAATATTCAGGTCGCAGTCATTATAACTTTGTTTTTTTAATACCTGACTTGAATACTTTCAGTGTTCGAAACACACCCTGATGATGACCCACATGTTTGGGTTGAAACGAAGGCCAATAAAAACTTAATGACTGCGTCCTGAATATTTATCACCTATATTAAGAAATGGCTTCTTCAAATAATCTTATATATTATTTGTAAAAGGTATTTTTTAGTCGCAACGCCATAACTTCATCAATTCTTCATCAAATCCAATTTTTGAGCCCTCATTTTAAAGATCTTCTTCACCTTCATGCATAATTAGCGCAACACAACCCATTAACGGGTCTAGACCTCCTCCAAAAGTCTCCGCCAGTTGGCTGTCTGTTGCTGCAGCTCTCCAGTTGCAAGCACCGAGGAGGTTGTGTGCGTCCACTGAGACGGAGTCAGCCCACATCACATTTGGCCTATCCACTCTTCACTTGCCATTAAGCTCTTCGGCCAATGTCCTCTAAGGGATCTCGTCCTCCTTCATCCTTGCCACATAGCCCACCCATCAGAGTCTCCCAATCTTGATCCACTTGATGACATCAGGATCTCTGTACAGCCTTGTAAGTTCCTGATTCTTCCTCCTTTCCCAGGTGTCTCCGGCTCTTCACACTCTCCCGAAATTTAAGGAAAAAGTTATGAGGGAAAAAACACTTTATTTGCGAATAACTAAAAAAAAAATATGCATTTTTTTCTTTTCTTGATTGTACCCATGATAATTAGAAAGATTACTAAATTACCTACAAAATAAAAACAAAAAATCATAAAAATGGGACAATTATTAACAAAGATACAGTCCATTAGTTTTGGTATACTTAATTAATAATTTCTTCCTCTTTAAAGATATTGCAATTACTATTTTACCACTCTTTTTTTCCTGGCTGATATATACTTATTAGGCTTTTTTTTTGTTGCACATTTTAATTTTTTTTATAGTTTAGAAAATCCCATGACCAAGGCTTTATTTTGAATGGTACCTTTCCATTCAGCATTTAAAAATAGGCCCAAGCAAAGCAATACGTACAAATATTTTGATCTATTATGTTAAATAGAATATTGTAATCGACCAAGGGAAAACAATTAATTCCTCCCTCACATAATACATAGGATCTACAAAATTTTTGGAGAATTATTCGCATGGACCAACTAGTCATAGAATTAAGAGATGATCACATTATACACAACCCAGGAGGACCATTTTTACTATAACTTAAATATACACTGGATATTGTTTATATTGACATTGATTTTAACATCATATCAGCTTTAACAACAAAAAGGTCAGAGATCCAGTGGTTTTCGAAGCTAACTTAATGTAGTTTTCAATGGAAAAAGATTGGATATAGTGACTTCATTTCTTGGGTTTCTTAACAAAATCGGTTCAGATATAACAACAGTTCAGTACTCTTAAAACCTTTGTGGAAACATCTCTTTTCTAGGATATCAAAGATTTATTATTCCATTTTTGCTCTGTGTAAACATCACATTTATGTACAATCTCAAGTTAATTAAAATGGCATTTTGAACTCTCGTTAAGTTGTTATATACAATAGGCTTCTATATTTTAGACAATATATAATGTATATAAAATACATAGTGAGGTAAGTATATTGTAATATATAGTGAGGAAAGTATTGCAATTGTGAAAAATTTTCAATCTGAGTTTTATCGGAAATACAAGTTGCAAAATGATCGGGGGTATGTGAACAACCTATTTCGAAAATGAAACTGAAATTACATCTTAAAGATGTATGTTACAGCAACTTTTTCGATATGCAATTCCATCAGACCATAGACATAAATAAAGGGTTAATTACTTTTAAGGATAAAGCTGGAATATAGCGTTAAAACATTTCTACAATAAAAAGAGTAAGAGCTGTTAAGAAAGAGAGTCAATAAAATAAAACCTTATATATTTTTTTTTAAATATCTTGATTTAATAATTACCTTGTTTAGTGAGGACCCTGGTAGACGGTGGGTGATGCGGAGGTTGCTGTGGTGCCTCATAGCCGTTAAAACTATGAGACTTTGAGACAGAAAGGCGCAACGAGTTAGCCCGGAGAGTATCTCCACTTTCGTATGATTCTACCTTAAGAAGTCTCCCATTTCTAAAGATTATAAACACATTATGTACGGAATATTTCATCATAATAATTTAGAAGGCAGTCAAGGTGGTTGGACAAAATGAAACAATATAGTGTGAAATTTATTAGTAAAGACCAACTTTAGAGAAAAGTAAAATGGAGAAAAATCTGAATGTTTAATTCTCTTCCACATCTTCGTTCGAAGATATTGCTTTGTTTATCTTCCTGGCCTACTCATTTCTATTTGCCATGAAGAGGATTTCCAAACTGGATAGAAACATTAACATACGTTGAATAGTTTTACACTATATCTGCTCAAATTTGAACACCACCATGAGAGAATATATTGAAAGCATTTAAAAAATAAACTCTGAAATGTTACTACAAACTTTTTAACATAATTTTATCCCCTAGCATTAGACTGAATTATGCGTGACCCCTGTAAATCTAAAAAAAAAAAAGTTATTTGAAATATTTTTGCTGGTGATAAAATTGTTATTAGCCAACTTTTGACAATTAATATTAATCAACTCAATAATATTAATAATGCACAAAAACTAAGAAAGTATACAGTAATTAGATTTATATTTCTGAAATGAGAGCACCAGTCAACTGATATGTAACTATCTTACCTGTTACTGTAAATAACAATGTTACAACCATGTTAAATAATACTGCAATAATTTTCTTTTCTTTTTTAATTCTTTAGTGTAAATTAAAACATTGCAAATGAACACTTTTTTAGACTTCCCAGAATCAATATAAATTTCAAAGATACAAAATTATCACAAATTCAATTGAGAAAAATTGAGTCTTAAGCAGATTAGCCCTGTCAGTTATTTTTAAAGAGGAAAAGCATCAGTTATATTTGAATCAATGTTGTTATTCTTACACTATATAAACATCTGATTCAGTGATTTATTTAGTTAACAAAATTAACTCCTTTAGGTTATATTCCAATTTGAATAATGACGAGAGGGAAGCCATTAAGTTTTATCAGGAAGCTAAAATTATCCATTAGAAGCGTTTGTGTAATAAAAGATACGTGACGTACCTTGTAGAAAGAAATGGTTCTCATGTTAGGAGGAGATATAATGCATGTTCATGCAGAAATGAAACAAAAAGGAATGAGATACAGCTAGATTTTGATAGACTCTATATCTATGTGACTTTGTTTGGCGAGAAACCAAGGAAAATATTTTTTTCAAGAGAGTATTACTATTACTAAATATCAAAAGAGTTTTTGCCATGTTAATAACCTTTAAAAAAAAAAAAAGTGAATTAGTTTCTTTATAATTTAAGCTTTCGATATCATAAAACGGTCTGAAAAATCCAACAGAGCTAATCTACGAAAGAGCCCAAAAATACTTATATTTTTTAGAATACCTTTGGTTATGGTTACTTTGGTCACAGTCGTTAGAAAAAACACCATTTTCATCACTTTCCCATTGGAAATCATCAATGCAATCAATATCCCCATCCACCTGAAAAATAAAAATAAATAAATGAAACTGGCAGAAAATTAAAATAACACAGATAACAAATATAAAAAAAAAATTAATTATATTTCAGCATGGAAATTTAAAAAAAAAAATCTATGTAATGACATATTTAATTTTAAAATAATTACATGATTTATAATAGAGGACTAATTAGTGAAGAGCAATTTTCTTTAACATAGGTTTGGAACTCAATCAAAAATTACTTTAAATTTCATTGTGACAATATTAAATTCTTATGTTATTTAGATAAAGGCAAAATCTAGGAAATAAAAACATAGTTTTACATAAACGTGAAAAAAGAAATGCTATTTGTATGTCAGCTGTTGTAAAAAAAAAAAATGTATCTGATTCTAACTGTATATAAAATATATATTTAAGTAAATACTGCTTTTAACCGCAACCTAATCCAGATAACACAACAGCAGTCCATAGGAAAAACTGTCTTCTTATAAGTAGACTCTAACATGCATAAAAGTTGGCCCATATACTTCAATCAAACGGCTAACAATGTTATCAGAAAGCTATGGTAACATGAGTGCTAATAGTTTTCCAGATTGATTAACAGTCATTATTACTGATCTGTTCTTATGGAACATATAGTGTGGTTTAATGCTGAAGGCTTCATAAAAAAAAAAAAAGTTTAATTATTTGTCAGACATCAATGTCTAATAATTTCATGAACTGTCATGTCATGCGCCACATCTTTTTCGGTACTAAATTAAATAATAATAGAAATCAATTAGTTTATTTAACTACCTAATGTTAGTAAAAAAAATTGACAAAACAAGTGAAGTAATATTGAAAATAAGGTCATTTCAAACAGTACAAAACAAAGAAAACTCTTAAATTTCTAAAATTCAAGATCATTATAAACAAATTCTGGCATTTCTCAACATATGAAACCTCTATAGTTAGTCTGTATTCAGTATATTCAATAGCGTATAACACAGGTGGGGAACTGTGGACTTTGTGACATAGCTGCAGCTTCCAAACGTTTCTGCGCGATATTTATTAATCTAGCATTAGAAATAATAAATATTTAACCATTTAGGTTACAAAAATTTGAACCTTAATATTAAAAACAGTAAAATATAAAAAATTGCTGCAGCCTCCATGAGTTGGGTACTGCTTAACCTTACTATGGCCTCTGGAGATAAAAATTTTCCCCACATATGATATATAACAATAACGCTAACGATGGCAACTAAATATTATTTGGTAGCACAATTTATACTACTGATTATGTGTGATAACTCAAGTTAACAGGTCTGAATTAACATTTGATTTGAAAAATATGAGGCTTTTGTTAATCTTAAGAAAAGACCTAATAACAAGGCTTGCATTCAACTTCAGTTTCATTCATTATATCTAAAAATCTAAATTAATAAATATTTTAGCCAAAATTTTAAAAGTATTTAACAAGCAAAATTTATAAAAACAGTATAAAATTACAGATAATTAGTCGTTATCTTAAAAAGCCAAATGAAAATTAGAGACTTGTCATCTAGAATATATATCCTCAATTCACAACCTAACTTTCATCGAGAATTGGTAAGCGTCCATTATCATCTAGTATTAAGAATATTAATTATCAATCTTAGTAACTTACAAAAATTAAATTAACATTTCCAGTAAATATAAAATATGCTACAATGGCTTATTATTTGTAAATAATACTGTAACAAATTTTGGCTACTATCATTAATTCCATTAAAGGTTTGAGTTAAAGTACAAGAAAATATTTTTTATGCCTTTGAAAATATTGGACTGATTAAGGTCTTATAATTTTCTATATTTAGCATTCATTGTAGACAGTAAAATTATCTCTCAGGTGTGCACCTGGAATGTTCCAAGAAATGTACTGCTTTGGAATTATTTAGAAATTTAAATAAAGATTGGCCAGTTTTCTGCAGAAATACTTTTTAAATTATAGGGATAGAGTTCAATATATCTTCAATAATATTGAACCTTGTTCGATTCTTTTTTAAATTTTTTTAAAAACTTTATATATTTCCTATATCTTCATAAACAGCCAAGATATGGGCATATGAAATCTCTGACCAGGCTACTAAGACAAGGTCAGATAGGGTAGCAAGCAGTCCGAAGAAAAATAAAATAATTATAACCAACAATACAATTCAGTTTATCTTCATAAAAGAGTACAGTATGGGGAAAAATATTAATTTGGAGTAATTTAATACTTATTTTAAGCTAATTAATGATTCTACAGTTTTAATATTTATTTTAAATTTAATAAATAAAATAGATAAGTAATCAGCATGCTGATTGAGTTTTACCAGCTGAACTGATTTAATTTATTTTATTTTTAATGTAATTTCGATATCAAGCCATACTGTATTTTCTTTTTTGATTTATAAGCATAATAATATAATATTGTCACAATATGTCAAAACTAGCTACCTTATAATCCAAAGATTTAATAAAAACTTGAATAATACACATTATTAACCTTTAAATATTTAAATTAAAAACAAAAAAATAACTAAAAATAAAAGTCAACCAGGGCCATACAGCTTTTGAAAACCAGACCTTGCAGTTAAATAAACATTAACTGGTGAAAACGCAAAGTTTCATAGGGACATTTAAAGGAAAACATATTTATTAATGGTGGAAATTAAATAACTATCAGTAAAATTTAAAAAAAGAGAATTAAAAAAAATATTTGGTTTACAGAATGGATTAATCACAATAAGAGGCGCCAAATGAGGAATAAGTAATTAAATTTTAAGAGTAAAAAATAAAGAAGGAAAAAAAACTTCAGGTTTATATACATATTCAGTTAAAAAACAAATTCATTTAAAATAATAGATGTTTTGTAAATGAATAGTTAAGTTCAGAAAAGAAGTGAAAATTTAAATTTGTTTATATATAGAGCGCATTAATGTGGAAGAAAGTATTCGGGTTATTTTTACTTAAGTATCGCCAATTATTTTTTTATCACTTATTTAGAACTATTACAGATTCGTCAAATACAGATAATTTAATAAATTATTATGATTGTACTAATGAGGTTATAACCAGAATGATAAATGTATTCTTTTATTGAGTGTGAAATTTAAAAAAAAAATTAACTTGTTAAAGCTAAATAATATTCTTTCATCACCGATAAAGGGCATCAAAATGATAATGAAAAAAATGAATATTACACCGCAAAAGTAAATGTTTCCAAGGACATAATATAAAATTTTATATTTCCAAAAATGGTAAAGCTATGTGCAGGTTTGACTTAAGTTAAATACTTAAACTATCAGTTATTCTCAAAGTTAACCTATTTTATGTTTATCTATTATTTAATATTAATTTTCAATAAAACATTTATTCTATTATGACATATGATTTCTGAATAACAACTGTTATTTTACTAAAAGTGACTGGCAATACTTAAGTAAAAAAAAAAACCGATTATTCAACAAACATAATCCATAATAAACCTGGAGTGTTTCATCAAGGAAGTTTTATCAGGGAAATGTTGAAGGGATGGGTCAAAAGGAAATAACATGGCGCAGGGTAAGGTTGGCTTGTTCGATATTTGCTCATCGACTAACAGAGTGGTCCCGGTTGAATATCCGTCTCCTTGCCTTCTCATATTCCTCTTCGCGTTCTTCAAAACTCTTGCTCCTCCTCGAGTCCCCTCCAAGCATTCTTTCGCCACACTGAAACATAAGAAGGCTACCTAACATTCAATTACGTCAATGCCAACCTTATTTAAAAAGTGAATGGATAAACAATAATCAAATTATTATCCCCATAGAGCAACTTTGCGTTTTCTTATTAATACACTTCCATTTCAAATATAGACAGCAAGTTAAATAAGTATTAACTTTTAACAAATTGATAATTATATAACAATCTCTTGAAAATAAATCAACAATCATTCAATACCTTGTATGATCCTGTTTCATCAAATGAAGAGGAATCCCTTTTCAGGATTGACCGCCGTGGCTCTTCAGGAAGAAGTAAATCATCCCTTTAACAAAAATACAATTTAATTAGTTTATATAAAAGTTAAAACATGCAATGTTCATTATTTGAGCAAGAAATAGGAATTAAATCCACCATGCATCCAATATCTTTCGTCATACCTTTTCCACCTCAAAAAGTCTAAATTAGCCCCGTCACCTATTTCCCTTTGAAACCCATAGGGGCTCCTAGCCACTTCCTTAATATTTCTCCACTTTGACTATTGCTGTATGGTATATGGGGGCATCTCTGGAGATCTCGAGGCGAAACTACAACGTTTGATAAGTTGCTTTATACGATTCATCTTCGGTATCCCAAGGGACAGCTCTGTTTCACATTTTTATGCAGAGTTGAAGTGGTTTTATTCTTCTGCCCATCATAAGTATTTCCTGGTACCCTTCATCTTCCAATAACGCCATACTTTATATATCTCCGAGCTTCTTCAATTCGAATTCTCTGTTCGTTCCCGCAATACTTGTTCCCGGTCTTCAGATCTATACACAAGGGCCCACCAAACCACCGCTTTCAACGGATTGTTCATTATCCGACCCTCATCCCTGTGAAACTCCATCCCTTCCTACATCTGTCGCTCCAATGCCCTCTCCCTTCCTTTAAATCCCGCCAATGCCCTCCCTTCCTTTAAATCCCGCCTGTTCAATAATTTCTTATCCATCCACTCTCCATAAAATTGTAAATAGATATTACTGTAAATATGTATATAAATTATTATATCGTTCTTAATTATTTTTAATTCTATTCTAATAAGTTTTTTTCATTTTTCTATTATTAACTGGTTAAAGTTGGAAAGTAACTTATATATATATATTTTTTTTACTATTTATTTACTTTGTGTTTTTGTTTATTTATATCTGAGGCGCCCAAATTTCTGTCTTTCTATATTATTCTAAAGGGACGCGTTCCAAAATAAATAATTTATTATTATTATTATTAGATCCTTCAACAACACTCCATTACTTTGACCAGTGATAAATCATTTTCTCAATTTCAACTAAGTTCAGTAATATAACTAATTGCTTAACATTAATCTCTTGAGATGGTACCTACTAAATTCAGAGTGAATTTTCATTAAACACAAGTTGCCTTAGTGTTCATTGAGGAGAAAAAAAGATAAGTCTGCAAGAGTTCAGGCCCTACATTCATATCATCGCACGAGCCAAGGTCTCACGGTCTAAAGGCTATTTAAAGGTACTTCTTTAAAAACCAGAGACACCACTCATCATACAAACCAAAGAAGCTTGATTTAATCAACTCCACGAAATCACAAGACAAAATTATATTTAATACAAGATAATATTTGACATTGTAAGATATTAACTTACCTAACGAAATCCCTGAACCTGGTCTCCGGTAGACGGGTGGATTTGGTTGTATTGACAATGACGGCAACTCCCGACGTGTCGACGTTATGTTCCATACTGAAATAGGCTGCTACCCTGTGCACCAGCATCCTCTGGTATGAGGACATCTGGGCAAATTTATGCATTGTCCTCCTGCAAAAAAAAATTTAGCCATGTCATGAATTAATTTTAAAAAATATTTCTGATTTCTTAACAGAAAAAAAACGGAATATAAATCATAAATGATTATAGTTCGTTCAGAAGAATCACTGAGTATATATATATATATATATATATATATATATATATAAACAAACATAAACAGTAAAAACCTCGTTACTACGAACTCAGAAACAACAAACTCCTCGTTGAAGGTTGAAGCAAAACAAAATTGAATCCATCAGTACAAACTGTGAACTACTTTTTCATCCCAACTCAGAAATAACTGTTACAACACTATAACGGCATATTATACGTCACTTAACTTTGAAAAAAATTAAATTTCATAAATTCCTTTGTCCTGCCATAGTTTTCTACTTTAGCCATACAAATTTTACTTTGTTTAACCACAGATATGTTTATTTTATAAATTTAAAATACAATTCAATTCAAAATATTCATTAAAATTTTATTAAAATAAATAGATAATAGATAATTAAAAATTCTAGAAGAAAATACAAAAAATACAGTCTTGGTACATACTTTGGGTCATTTGCGAGATTGACAAGCTCATTTTCTATCTTGAGAAGAAGCATGCGGTCTTTATGATTGCGATTAAGGGTCTCCACAATGAACTGATGGAGATCCACCTGATTGCCACCATCGTACTGTTGCTCCCTGCTATTACCTAAAATAAAATGGAAACAATGTTAAAAGACAAAAGGAGAATCCAATGCCATTAAGATAACAACAATACAGCAACAGAATCTAACATTTAAAATGAACACGACAAATTATAAATAAGTAATTATTTATTACCTCACTTAGTTTGTTACCTTTAAACTGGGCCCTTCTCCTAAATATCATGTAATTAAATACCAATTGATTTTATTTAAAATCTTCTTGCAGTGAATAGAATGGCAATGAAAAATTCTTTTGTTAAAAAAATAACCCAGATGATTTGGGTTTTCACTCAACTTCACTTCATTATTATTATTATTATTATTTTATAATACTGAAACTTGACCGACGTAATAATTTTTTTAATAGTTATGTAATTACATAAAGTTTAGATTTTATATTTAAAAATACAGGTGGATTACCTTAAATTTGACTGGCCAAAATAAATATTTCAAGTCCATTTCCAATGATAGTAACATAAACAAAATACCATGTGATTATCACCATGGTAAAACATTGGTGAATACTTGATTTATTAATTACAACACTGAAATAATATATCTACAAGGTTTTTTTCAAAATATGATATTATTTATTAAATGTCTAGTATTTAATAAATAAAAATTTATCAATTAATTAAATTTAACAGTTAAATAAAGTATATTTTTTTAAAACAATTAAATACAATATTCAGGTATCATATAAAAAAAGAAACAAAAAAATGACTGGAAAAGTGTGAAATAAGTGTCACTAAACCAAACAAACAAAGTAAAATAATTTATTCCAGTCAAATCTCATGTTATAATTTTTTTTTTATACCTTTAATTGATATTTTTCAAAACAGTAAGTAATAAAATTCTAATAAAGAGCAAATACTGTTTAAAATCCACGTTAACTAATTAAACAAAATATATCCAAGGGAGACTTGGTTCTCTGGTCATTAGTACTTAACAGAGGAAAAACCCAAGTTAATTAAGTTGAAACTAAAAATATTTAATAAAATTAACATACCACGAGAGAGAGGAGGTTGCCAGTCTTTATGCCTCCGCGATTCTTGCTTTGGCTGTTCTTGAGTTGGTTCGGGAGGCGGTGATGTTTCTTCTCGGACTGCATGGCTTCTCACCAATAGTTTCACTTTATTCTGTGACTAAAATAGAATGAATGAGAACTTATTACTCATTAATATTATATAGTTCAAACTATAAATAGAATGAATGAGAACATATTACTCATTAATATTATATAGTTTAAACTATAAATAGAATGAATGAGAACTTATTACTCATTAATATTATATAGTTCAAACTATAAATAGAATGAATGAGAACATATTACTCATTAATATTATATAGTTCAAACTATAAATAGAATGAATGAGGAGAACTTATTACTCATTAATATTATATAGTTCAAACTATAAATAGAATGAATGAGGAGAACTTATTACTCATTAATATTATATAGTTCAAACTATAAATAGAATGAATGAATGAGAACTTATTACTCATTAATATTATATAGTTCAAACTATAAATAAAATTAGTGCATACATTTTATAATATAGTCCCCAAACATGCTACCTGCAATGAGCTCAGAGCTTTTATACAACGGCTGAGCACTTTTAAAATACAATTCTCTAGCTCACATGCAAATTTACAAGATATGAAATCTATTTTTAACTAGGTTGTTCTTTAAATAACCGTATTATTCTTAAAATTAAAACAAATTTTTAGATGAAAAATTGAAGTAAAATTAGTTTAATGACCTACATTTTCTATAATATCTGAGTACAAGGCTAGCGGTGCCCAACGGACATACTAGGTGGAATTGACAGTGGGAATTCACAAGTCATTATCTAAATAAAGAGTAGAAGAAAAGATCCTTTGATGTTAACCTCAGGGGACATGAAACTAACATAACGGCACATTCGACCCGAGCACTCAGTGCTTTCAAACCAGTTTGATTTACTCTGGAGTGCTATTCTCAAAGAATAAATCTGATGATTGGGCTCTATATTCCGTCACAGAAACAATTTACTTTACCTCCGGTTTCACAAATCTTGCCTAGGAAGCATAAACAACGAGTTTTATCAAAGATTGTTTTTTGTGGAGTTGATTTAGGATAAAATACGATGAAAAACTAAATTTATTAGATTCAGGTGACACTCTCTTGATAAAGAGAACCCACTTTCATAGAGTGGAGGATTAATCCACAGTTGACGAAACAGAATAAAAAATTACCTGACATAGCCAAAATTCGAAACTAGGTTATGATTATAGCCTATTCTTGACAACGAAAATAAGAGCCAGTGTCTTAATCACTGAGCTACCCCACTCTCTCATTCGGCAATAAATAAATTCAGTTTTTATTTTCTGAGAAGTTGATTGAAATAGTAGCAGTGCAGCAGTTCCTAACAATAAAACAATAAATTTATTTTAAAAAACTAAAATTTTTTGAGCTTACAACATTATCTGAAAACCCCGTGATCTGAACAATAGAAAAACTATGATAAAAAATCACTGGAACGATACACATACAAACCGAATAACTCACGCTCCTAAAATCAGAAAACTCAACCCCTGAACAATCCAGTTTATTTATGGCAATTTAACAATTTTATAACTTATATCAAATAAGCAACAAACTCTTCCATACTAATTAATAAATTATGAAGTAAGTACTACCTGTCCATCGATAGACCCTCTGTCCATAAGTGGTGTGTTCGCCCTAATTGTAAAATATATAACATATGTGTGTGTAAACGAATATATAGTTTTCTTTTGTCTATACACTATATTATGTCTTATGTACTTAAATGACAGTAATTTAGTTTTTATTTTATATATTATGTGGGTTTTTATTAGATATTTCCTACTGTTTAAAAACAGATTTCTCGATACTAAATCAGCAATAACACCGCTATTATAACAAATGTAAAGTAATTGTAAACACAAACATGTAATTATTATTATGACATAATGTGTTATATATACATATACACTTTTTTATCAATTGAAAATATCAATCTGACCCTGGAACGATGAAGGTTCCCGTTTTGTGCAGGAGGTTGTGCCTGTTGGTGAGGAGCATCTTCTGCAGACATCTGTCCTTGTAATTGACCTTTATTATTGTTGTTGTTGTTGTTGTTGGACTGTTCTGGAGAGCTCTTAGTACTTTCATAGTTATTCAGTTCTGTATCCTCGTCGATTCCCTCCTAAAATCAAAATAATAAATATCAAATCATATTAAGTAAATATTTTCTTTTTGTAAGAACAAATATTCTAAAAACATAATCAAAACAAAGCTTATCAAAGAAATCTTATGAATTCTACAATTAAGTCTTCCCTTTAAGCTATTTCTCTGAACTAAGCTACTTGAAACGAGATAAAGTCACGTGAAATAAGACAGATCAATATACAATTGATAATGAAATTAATTCTGAAAACATGGACATTAAAAGTATAAAAATTAAAATACTAGGACAACTTAATTAAATTTATCAACAATTAGACGTTAGATATAGACTTAAACAAACTGGCCAGCAATCAGGGAGAAGGAAACATGATACATTTTTGCATAGTTAATTTTTTAAAAGAAAATGCATACAAAAATGTATTCTAAATATTTATAGGTTAGATTACTAAAAGAAAAAATATAGATTTTTACTTTCCTACTGCTAAATAATTATAATAAAACTTATATTGATTACCTGCTTCGACAAGGTGCGTTGAGTACGGACAGTTCTCTCCATGCCTTTTACTCCACTTTGTACGATTATGCTTGGAACTAAAGAAAAAAAAAACATATTAATTTGTTTCAACTTTTTTTTGTATCATACATAAAAAAATTAAAAAAAAAAAAGAAGATTTTTAAGATAGAAACTTGTTAGTACAAATGTGTGATTTTATTAAAAAGTCATAAATACAGGCAAGGACTGAGGAACAGGCCGAAAAAAAAAATTAATACGAAAAATTAACAGTAATATTCTACTTCACTATAATGTTATTCATGAAAGACTTATTAACAGACCAAGAAGCACAAGTAGTAAAGTTAACGTTTTAATTTTTTAACATACAGATTATCAGACAGAATGCAGAGTAATAACAACGTTAGATACATTAAAATATCTATAATCACAGCACAACAATTGTCTTAATAAAATTTCCTACATGAATAACGTATAAGATCTTCCTTAGAATATGATGATGTAGCAGATTAGCTAGGTCATCACCGAAAAATGAAGATATAAAAGCAATACATAAACAGGTGACAAATATTTATTACGCTCCTTGTCAAAAATAGTGATGATAATGATTTCATGAACAACAGCCTCTGCAACACCAAAAGTGGGGCATTAGGGATCTATGCCCTGGTCAAGGCTAAGTAGGCTTAAAAATCCTCACGTGCGAGGAGAAATTGTAGAACTCAATAGCCTGGTAGGACATGTTTCACAAATAGCCGAGATAGTATGATGGAGTAGTATTTTATCAGGATACTCCCTTTCAATGTTGTCATCCACTATCGCTTCTATTACATACATCTGGATTATTTTCTACAGCCCTCATCTGTAATCATCCGCTCAGGCTTTTCTCTTTTCAAAGGACCAGGCCAAGAGATACCAAACTAGGGGCTGTGCCGTTTCAAGAATACATTCGACAACTCGACCCATTTAAAATGGGAGTAAGATCGAGCAGAGTGGATTATTGGATTGGTGACCTTGAAAAGACAGATTACACCTGAAGATGGAATAGTTTTCTAGCATTTCAACTTTAAAGGGTTCAACACTATGAGAACTGCTCTAGCAAAACACAATCTTCAAAGGATTAAAAAATAAAGAATGTTGGCGGGTACTTGAGATCCAAAATGCGACTTAGACCATTCATTGCTTGTGCCACCTGCTTGGCAGATATTTCCGAGAAGCATCACATTTAAAACTGTGCCTGATCTAACACCTGTATCCATGTCCATGTATGTGTCTTTAACAGTGGCCTCTTTCATCTTTTTCTTCCACATCAAATTATGCTATTATACAAGGCTGAGAGATCGCTCAGCTTCTTTCTTTATTCAGGTTCTTCCATTGGAGACCACAACAGCAGCAAAGTCGTCTGTAGGGGTGGCTCTTCCTCTAACACTTTTAGGTACTCATCAAAAACCAACTTCCTTAAGAGAGGACCAAGGACTGACTCCTAAGGGAGTTTGTTCTCTACGGAAGCTTTTATCTCATAATAACTGCCTCTAACCTCATGTCGTTGTGGTAGGCTTCTTGTGAGGACATATAAGTTGCTAGGAATATTATACTTTTGCAGCTGCTGGTTCAACTTATAAAGACCCAAGCGGTTATACTATCATACATCTCACAAAATCCACCATTTTTGCTGTCCTTTAGAGCAGAGTAAGAATTATGGACCATTATGGGGCCAGTCGCACTCTCTCCTTCCAGCGACAGAGAGTTTTAGCGGCATCATGGATGATGTTAGTTGTACTTCATTCATAATACAGGTCATCAGTTCTAATCACCTCTGCCACACGCTGTCCTTTATCAGCAATATATCTTATCAATGTAGTCACTTCTTGGGTAACAAACCTCTGATTAATAACATGAGAACAACCTATTATACCTACTATACCAATTGTTATCCTAATTTGATCGGAACTCTTATTATTATAATACAATAAATAACAATGGTAAAATACTTCATAATCTAGTATACAATTTTACTGTCGATAAATAATTTTTTTTTATGTTTAGTCATGAAATAGGATAAAAAGGAAAAGATATTGAGATGGCAATTGGAAATTATAAAAATTAACTTTACTAATAATAATACATTGCTCATGATTGATATTCTCATAGAATTAATGGAAAAAAAAAATAAATTGCTTTCTGAAGTTTATAACATTTTAGGATCTGAGCCTACAGGAGTAACAATTTCATTTAATGTTTATCAAAAATAAACACACTGTAATATATTAGACGTATCATAAGTACAATAGTGTTTATATCACAATAACTTTTGCTATACAATGACTCATGTAAACTTTTGCTAACTAATAATGATGCCGATTTATGGCAGTTAATTCAAGTTCGTATTCTTTATAGCTTGTGAAATTCCAAGGCTTTATTAGTTCTAGTAGTAACCTTACTTTTTCCTGCTTTAAAAGAACTTGCCGTTTAAAAACAGTATCAAAGTAACAAGAAGTAACAGTCTCAACCGTCCCGCCCTTTATCTCCTTTAATTCATCTAAATGAAATGATAAGTAATGCCAGAATACAAACATGTTTTTTAATTTTATCGAGCTTCATAATCAAAGAAACAGGTGCTATCAACAAATACTATTAGGATAAAATAAATAAACAACAATACACAACGAAACACAATACGAGTGCAAGACAGAAATAAATTCTACGATGAAAATAATGTGCATGATTTGAAGAAAAAAATGTTTTTTTCTTAATGTGACAATTCAAACAGAATATAAGTTAGAGATAGTGTTTATGAAAGCGATTTCATCTCCACCTTAGCAACCGCATATAGAATTATAAAACTAACTCTGAGCATAGCCTCTCACTCTAATCGTGTAGGAAGTCCCTAATAACAGATTTTAATCAATTTTTGTGGGTTCTGATACCTTTTATCATCATTACCATGATTATAAAATAACAATTCTAATTTATAGACACACAGAATTAAAAAAAAACACCATTCATAAAAAACAAAATCCCAAGTGCACTTATCACTAATAACAAAGAGGTAACATCAAATTGCCAAGGATTTCCAGGTGCAAGTGTGAGTTAATTACATCTAAGAGTTTTAACAAAAAGGGTTAACTTTTAATGATTTCAAATTTACTACTCACTCTCCAGTTTAGCCATATTGGGTCGAGGGGATCATGTGGTTAGACCTGCTTTGTGTCAGGCACCTGCAATCTAACCACACAAGTATCCTTCTAATTTAAACAGGTACACAAATAAAATAATAACAAAACGTAAACACACACAAAATTAAAACATTATATATAAATCCTTTTCTTACACAAAAACCATAATAATATTCAAATGAAAACTTTATACATACAGTTTCGTTAAAAGTCATGAAGATTTCTAAAAGAAACGATAATAAAATAAAATAGGACTTAACAGAAAAGTATTGCATTACAAATAATATTGGTTTGGCAAATAAGTCCTTTCGGTTTTTCTGTTTATTTTTATGTCACTATTATACACTTCTTATCTGATGAATTAATTCCTAAGGTGGATTGTTTATCCTGTTTGTAGTATGTCAACAACTATATATGTTGTTGAATCTAGCTTAGTATTGTGTTTGCTATTGCACTGTGAATATGGAAGAAAATATCATTCATTATTGGCATATTTTGTTGTTTTATTGTTTAAAAAACCGAACGTGCTGCAGAAGCTCATAGAAAATTTTCAGTGTTTATGGGCATGATACCTTAACCAAACGTACCTGTCAAAATTGGTTTGCCAAATTTCATTGAGGAAATTTTGACATCAATGACGCGCAATGGTCTGGTCGCCCAAGCAATGTTAAGGACATTGTTAATCAAAATCCCAACCAATCAGTGTGAGAGATTGCTATGACCCTAAATATGTCGCACACAAGCATAGAAAACCATTTGCACAAGCACGTCTATGTTTCCAGGCTTAATGTCTTTCTAACCGAAGTCAACTTGGCAACACGCATTTCTGTGATTCACTATGGAAACGGCTACAAAATGACCCATTTTTGAAAAGGTTGGTAAAGGAGATGGAAAATGGATATTTTACAATAATGTTGTCCGTAGAAAATCTTGGGGACCTAGTAGTGAGGCTCCAAGAAGAATGTGAAAACCTGGACTGCATTGAAAGAAGATAATGCTTTCCATATGGTAGGATGTCAAGGGTGTTATTTTCTATGGGCTGTGTACTCAGGAAAAACAATTGATTTAACTCTATACTGCTCACAATTAACAAAATTGGAACAATCAATTAAAAATGCATGCCCAGAACTGGCAAATCGGAAGGGTGTTGTGTTACACCAAGACAACGCTAGACCCCACAGCTAATTGGTCACTCCTTTTGCCCTACTCTCCATATTCATCAGACCTAGCTCCAAATGACTACCACTTATTCCAGTCTCTGCAGAACTCCATGAATGGAAAGAAATTCCAAAAGTAAGAGGATATCAAGAACCACTTGGATCAGTTTTTTACCGATAAACTCCTGACATTCTATGAACATGGCATTATGCAGTTAGTGGTAACATGGGAAAAAGTCATATTAAATAATGGTCAATTTATTGTAGATTAAAATAAATTTTATGTCTGCAATACATAGAGTTTTATTTCATCCTGAAAAACCGAAAGGATTTATTTGTCAACCCAATAATAAAGGGTGGTAAAAAAAAGAATGGTCACCTTTGAAATAAATAAACTTCATTTTTTTTTTTTTAAATTTACATTTTTCATTATATAAAAATTTACCCAATTTTACACATGTAGTTAAAATTAAAAAAAAAAAAAAAAGAACAGTTGAAGTATAGGAAATAACTTATGAATTAAATATTCAGATTAGTAACCATTCTAACCCATTGTCGAAAATCTGTGATTCAGTCAAAATACGCAGTCTGTCCTGTATAGCGTAGTGGAAAGTTTAACAATACGGTTTAGCATTTTCGCTATTCGTATAGAACAGGTAACCATATAATAGGGAACCTTAAAGAGTGAATTATGATGGGCTAGCAGACGGCACTAGAACATGGCATAAGTGAGATCACAAGTACTGAAAA